GCTGCTCTTCATATTAGTGACAAACTTTGGTGTTTTTGATGAGTTACTTTCATTTTTGTTTCTACTTTTCATTTAAAATAAGTTTACATTCTCAGCAGGTTTCTAAGGTTCTTCTTCTACATGTTAAAAAGTTGTTAAACATCTGAGTGGTGCACTACTGCTACTAGTGGTGAGAAAGTGTATTACACCTGGTCCCACGGCCCTCTGCGGCCCAAAGTTAAAAACTGTTGTTCTTTTGAGGCCCTCAAGGTGGCGCTCGCGGCCCACAATTGGGCCACTGCCCATAGGTTAAAAATCTCTGAGCTAAAGGATAGCATCAAAACTTACAGGCTGCAGATTGTAAAGTCCATGTTCATTTTCAAAAGTGTGAGCATTTATTTTTTTATTCAAGCTGCCAGTGTTGTAATATTAGAAATAAATATTTCTGTAGAAATGTTGAGTCCCAAAGCAGCTTGGGCACAAAAATTTGACTTAATTTTAGAATGAATAAATAAATAAAGAATAAAAACAAAAAATGTATAGGCTGCTGCCAGCAGCACATTAATCACTATAGTAACCACACACCTGTGTTTCACTCCCTGACTGCCAAATTAATGACAGGATGACACAAAAAGCAGCTGTGCTACAATTCATGGGTTTGAGCCCACATAGACTGCAGCCCACGTTATCCACACCCTCCGTGGGTCGTAGGCTGCTTGGGGCGGCTGTGGAAGAGTGGTTAGCGGGGTCATCCTGGAACTGGTAGGTTGCTGGTTCAATCCCCTGTTCAGCTGTCTCAGTTGTTTTTGTCCTTGGGCAAAAGACTTCACCTCTGATGTGTCCCATCAGTGTATGAATGTGATTGGCACTGATTAGTCTCCATAGATGATTGTACATGTTAGCTTTGCAGAGACCTAACAGAGTGCTGTGTGAATGGATAAATGAGGACACAGATTGTAGAGTGAAGAGCTTTGAGTGTCCTGGATGATAGAAAGGTGCTGTATAAGTACAGTCCATTTACCATTTACAACTGTTAAATACAGAGGTGGGCAGCTCTAACCCAAAAATTAGCTCCACAATTTCTAAAGTGTTTATGAAAATATTTAGGTCCGCAACTTCAAAAGTGATTATGCCATAGAAAAACTAGTGGAAGCTAATTTTAAAGTGCAAGTTCAGTTTGACACTTACTAACCGGCAACAATTCATGTACAATATATGTACAACACTGCCAACTAGTGGTGTATGAACCCTTTTACAGCTTAATTCTACAACCGCCGATTGTTGGGGATGTGATTTCCTGAAACAGACCTTTAGCTCCTGGTGTAAAAATTAAAAAGTTGTTGAGGATTGCTAGTTCGGCTGATTCTTTAAAAAGTTGTTGAGGATTGCTAGTTCGGCTGCTTCTTTGTCTTTTTCTTTTGCTTGTTGTAGATTTTTCATTAAAGAAACATTAATAAAGTACGGAGCCCATCCGGTGACATGGAATAAAAAAAAATTTTCACGTGGCCACAAGATAATTAATGCGTGCCCACGTGATAATTAAAGTGTGGCCACGAGATAATTAACGTTTCCCCACATCATAACGCATAGCCACTGTCGATTGTTAACATGGACAAGTTTGAATTAATTTTATTTTATTTCAATCTAGGCATGAGTTAGAATGACATACTTCAGTCACTTGCGGTGAAGCACGGGGTTATTCTTAGCAAGAGACACTTAATTCGGCTGCTCAAAATGCGTGGGCTCGGACGTAAAGACTAGGCTGTCAGAAGTCATCATTCACCAGCTGGAAGGACCTGGGAGGCTACACGGCTACAGATGGATGTACAACAAGTGCTTAAAGAATGGCATTCATGCCAAAAAAGAGGATGTTGGTTTGATTCTCACAGCTCTGGACCCTGACGCCTCAGCCAACTGTCGTTCCAGGAGACTAAACCTTAGGCAATATTTTGCTCAAGGACCAAACTACATCTGGCATGTAGTTTCTTACGATAAGTTAAAGCCCTATGGAATCTGCATCAGTGGTTCATTGATGGATTTTCACGAAAAATAATGTGGTTGAAAGCAGCATACACAAGCAGCGATCCATGCGTGATATCGCCATGTAAACGTTTTTAAGATTAACGTACCACATTACAAATAGGTCGCTGACCACATATACTGTCTGTATTCAAGTAATACACCCAATTAGCTATTGTTTTGAGGGACTCGTACCTGAATGGGAGTATTTACTAAAAGATAAACTACATTCATCCATATTGTAGCTATGACATGACTGAACGGGGTTGTGTAACGTTCAGGAACGCAGTAAAAAATCTGTTTCCGGACACTCACCTAGGGCGTTGAATGTCATCTCAAAAATAGCTTAGGCCATTAATAGGCTGTATGTTTGGTTATATACTTTTACACTGAACCACAGATTGCTCAAAATTATCTCGTGGTCATGCGTTAATTATCACGTGCGCATGTTATCACGTGCGCACGTGATAATTCTCACATGGCCACGCGTTTATTATCTCGTGGCCACATGAAAAAAATTTATTCCATATCACCGGACGGGCTCCGTAGTAAAGTAATTTTAAAACTGTTTATTGGAAAACTGAAGCGATGCATTCTGGGTACATGACAGATATGATTTGTGACGGGAAATGAAATTTTTCCATGTAGTTGCTTAAGTTGACCACTAGATGTCAGTATAACTCTTTGCTTCGACCAATTACGTCAAGTATTGAGCTCCAGCGTTTAAACTTTATTTCTTTTAAAAAAGGAGCTCTGATTGTAAAGTAAAATAAATCAATACATACAAAATTTTAGTACGGATTACAAACGTTAACTGTTTTTACTGGGACAGGGAGTTCTAAACATTGCCTTCCTGCTACGTAAGCAGACACAAAGCATTGTGGGAAATCAGAAGCGTGACCCAAAGCAACAGTCAGCAGGATGTATACCTTCACAATAAGAGTGTTTATCTGGGAGGGGTGCTGTTGGATAGATCACATGTGTTGTGATTCATTGACAGTCATACCTTCTGCTGTTCAACATAATGATGACTGSTAGATAATTAGTTATTAGTGGTACTGCTTTTTAATTTTAGGAAGTGCAAATCTGCTTATGAATTATAAAAATTAGTGAGACTACTAAAGCGCAAACGGAATATTTAGGTCTGCAATTAGTGGATTTGCACTTTAGTGGACTGGTGCCCACCACTGGTTAAATGAATTTTTATGAACTGGGACAGCCTACGATGTGGGGCAGTGATGTAAGCAGCTGATAAGTGTACGCTATGACAGCTGCAACCCCTGCATTGATGTGTGAAACAGCTGCTGTGTGAAAACTGTCAGATCCGTTTGCTGCAGAAGAACCATGGTCACACTGAGCTTTTATGTTTCTGCAGTGTCTTATGGAGAGGCTACGCTGCAAAAACTGTCCACCTAACCAAGTTTTAAATCTTATATCAGCCAAAAACTCTGTTTGATCTTGTTTTCAGACTGATTTACTAAACAAGAACTGATTGTGTAAGAATAATCATCTTGTTTTCAGAATGTGTAAGATTATTTGTCTTGTTAGTCTGAAAATTTGACTCTAATTAAGTCAAACATTTCTGCCAGTGGAGTAAGAACATTTTATTTAGTAAGATTCTTGAAATACTTGATTTGACTCAGTTTTTTCTTATTTCAAGAATCTTACCAAGTAAAATGTTCTTACTCCACTGGCAGAAATTTTGACTTATTGACTTTATTTTTACATTTCACAACATCAACAATTTCCTCAGCTTTTATTTAAGCCATAGTTTACACAGATAGGATAAGAAATAAAGACGCTATAAACGTTTTTGTGAGAGATTGACAGTATGGCTTTGTTTACATGACTGTGAATAGTAATGGCTCACACTAAGGCCTGGCGCTAGCTTTAGTGGCTAATAGACGATGTTAAAATTGATAACAAAAACCAAATCAATGTAAAGTTCAGATAGATCTGGCACTTGAACTTTCACTCTGATGTTTGAGTCAAAAGATTGATGAAAACAAGACCAGAAGTAACAAACTTACCCTGCTGGACATGATCGCCGACGTCAACGTCCTTTTTTTCGGTGATCGTCTTTGTTGACACTGTGGCCCCCCCTCAACAGTTGCCCCCTCGTCATTGTGAGGCAACTGTCTAGGGGGGGGCACCGTGTCTTTTTTGACATGGTGGCCCCCCCTCGACAGTTGCCTCACAATGACGTCGTCTTGGATCCGCGGCTCACTTATCAAGGATGTTGTCCATGGTTGTCCACAGTTTTCCTAAACCAGGCATGGACATTAAAACTCACCTTCATCAACAAGGTCCCCCCCCCCCCTCCGTATATGGGTGGAGTCAGCGTTTCAGCATCCAATCAAAACGTTGGTTTCATGCGTGATTTGCGTGATGACGTTATTTGGCAATAGGTCCATTAGAGTCAAATTTTCAGACTAACAAGACAAATAATCTTACACATTGTGAAAACAAGATGATTATTCTTACACAATCAGTTCTTGTTTAGTAAATCAGTCTGAAAACAAGATGAAAAAGACTTTTTGGCTGATATAAGAGTTTAAAACTTGGTAAGATGGACAGTTTTTGTTCTTCATGTTTTGAACAGAATATTTAAAATATTCCTGTGTAAGTTTGGGTGATAAGCTAAGGGTCTTTCTGATGGAGCTGTGTAAGCTTTGGTTTAAATCTGCACAGTGAGCTACAGGATGAACTTTAACAAGGTGTGTACTTCAGTACTGACAGCTTGTGTTGTCCTTCTGGCCTGTTAACACACTTCATCTCTGCTCCTCTGACAGGACTGATCATTCCAGCGAACTGTGTTTCTCCTCTGGTCAACAAGTTGTCCACATCAGACCAGAGCCAGCAGCTGGCTGTGCAGGAGCTCCAGAAGAGGCAGCAGCTCCATCCTCAGAGTCTCAGCCATGCTCCCAACACTTAGTGGCCTGCTTGGTGCCACTGCTGTCCACTCTGAAGGGATCTGACCCAGTCTGTTCCAGTCCCTCCACTGGTCTGATCTGGGACTCTGTGGAGACTGGGACATGTCAGCGTTATTGTACAGAGGTTTGAGTCAAATACTGGTCCTCTGACATTCAGAGGGATCTTTGTGTTTCCCATCGAGGCATGGTTTCAACTAACTGGGAATCCACTTCTAATTACATTTGAAGCCATTTAGTCCAGAATGTTTGGTCCAGTTTAGGCTGGGAGTCAGGACTCAAACAGAACCACATGTTTCAGGTCAGGACTGTTGTTTAGATGGGCATTCATTCATTTACAATCCTAAAACCTCCCAGCTCTTCAACAACTACAGCAGTCAACGAGTTTCATCTTTGAAATCAAAAATAGTTTGGTTTCAGTCTGATTTGTGCTTTTCTTTAACTCTGTTGTTGTTTTTGTTTTTGTTTTCTACCAAAGACCAAACGGCTGTAGTCAGTGTTGCAGTTTCATCCTTGCTTTGAGTTCACTAAAAACCCTAACCATTTATCAAAGTACTGAGTTTATTTAGACCTTTTTTCTCTATGTTTATACAGAAACATGAAAAGCCAGGGCTTGTCAGTACCTACACATGCAGCAGTCAAAACCATTTCAAAAACATATGTTTCCTTTTAAATTGTTCTTATTTTACTTAAATAATAAAATAATGAGGAGATTCTGTGAATTAAAACCAGTATCCCACTGGGCTGTAACTGGTGGAAACACTGAGGACTCAAAATTACAAGAAAACAGATTTTTTATGTTTCCTTTCAGCAGTCATGTTGTGTTTTAGTTGGTTATATATGAAACTGTAGTTTCTTTACATCTGCACAGGTTTTATCATCCAGCTGAAGCTGAGCAGGTTGTTTGTGTCGCCCCCCCCCCCCCCTCCACATATCAGCCTGTTCTGGTGGCTGCTGTCACATTTATAATCAAACCTGCTGAGAACAGGTTTTAAACCAGTGACACTGATGTGCTTCTGTACCTGCTCAGCTCCTGCAGGAGGTACACCTGAGCTGAGGCAGGGTGCAGGTGCAGCTCCTGCAGGAGGTACACCTGAGCTGAGGCAGGGTGCAGGTGCTCACACATGTGTTGAACAGGTGGGAACACTAACTTAAAGCCTCTGTGACCAGGAAACTAAAAACTTCATAAACATGTGGAGACCTTGTGGAGTATGGCAAGCCGTTGGGGCCATAAGTCAGGCGTATATTTACGTGCAAATCCTAAAGCGTGTTACCGTAAATAACGCACAAACGCGTGGTGGCGTTACGCGCGAATGCGTGGTGGGTTAGGGTAGAAAACGCCACCGCGCGTTTGCACGTTATTTACGGCACCGCGCGTTCGGATTTGCACGTAAATATACGCCCGATTTATGACCCCAACGGCTTGCCATAGTGGAGACCTGATGAAACAACTGGTTTCACTGTTGATCAGCACCACAACAAGATGTAACAACTTTGACATTTACACATATTTACTGTTGAGCCATCTTCTAATTTGTGATTAAATTAATTTTCATTGTTCAGTTTTTTGTAAGTTGTCAGTCTTCTGTCCTCTGCAGAGGAATGAGACATTACAGGTTTAGAGAAACAATTCACTGAACTCTCATCAGTTCACTGTAAAAACTGTCCATTTTACCAAGTTTTGAATCTTATATCAGCCAAAAAGTCTTTTTGATCTTGTTTTCAGACTGATTTACTAAACAAGAACTGATTGTGTAAGAATAATCATCTTGTTTTCAGAATGTGTAAGATTATTTGTCTTGTTAGTCTGAAAATTTGACTCTAATTAAGTCAAACATTTCTGCCAGTGGAGMAAGAACATTTTACTTGGTAAGATTCTTGAAATAAGAAAAAATTGAGTCAAATCAAGTATTTCTATCAGCTTGATTCATGCTGGACTTTTCTATTAGGCTCTATAGCGCCTCTAGTGTTTAGACATGGAACTGCATCCAGCTGGATGCAGTTCCATGTCTGAACACTAGAGGCGCTTGATTATTCTTGAAATAAGAAAAAACTGAGTCAAATCAAGTATTTCAAGAATCTTACCAAGTAAAACTTTCTTTCTCCATTGACAGATATTTTTATTTAATTAGAGTCAAATTTTCAGACTAACAAGACAAATAATCTTACACATTCTGAAAACAAGATGATTATTCTTACACAATCAGTTCTTGTTTAGTAAATCAGTCTGAAAACAAGATCAAAAAGACTTTTTGGCTGATATAAGGTTTAAAACTTGGTAAGATGGACAGTTTTTACAGTGTAATGGACACATTTTTTAATATTTAGTTTTTTTCATCTTTGTGTTCCTGTTATGAGTTTTTAATAAATTACATGTGCAGTGGTCTAAGGATTTAAACACAGTAAAGTAAAACAAAGTAATTTTGAGAAATAAAACAATAAAAATGTCAACACATCGTTCTGATTTTTGGGCACCGTTAGTCAAATGCTTTGTTTTTTATTTAATTAAATTTAATTACAATCTGCTCAGGGGTTAAACTCTTACAGACCCAGAACCACTCAGTGTTTTTGAGAAAAGCATGACATGAAACATTTCTCATCTGATGAATGATTTACAGCTTGTATATTCAGTGTACATAGTTCACTCAGTCTTTCTGTTCCTTTGCTTTAGTTTGTTGTTGTTGTGTAAAAACACGTAGAACGAACTGTTTGCATCATTTTGTATATTTGAACTTGTTCCTGCAGCTCAGCCTGGAGGAGGAGCTGCTCCTGAGCTGAACTTTGAACATGAATGTGCACCTTGTAAAAACATCATACTCTGTCTATAAGCTGCTGTCATTCTGTTGTTTTCAGTTAAATTTAACAGGTTAAAGTAGATTTTCAGAAGAAACATCTTGTTTGCACTAATGACTTGTACAAAATGACAAAATTATCTGTACATGAATGAGTGCAATGCTTAATAAAGCCTGGTGTACTTCCTCCTTGTTTATGACTTTACACTTTGTGAGTCTGCATCATCACAGATTGTGAGTCTGCATCATCACACTTTGTGAGTCTGCATCATCACACTTTGTGAGTCTGCATCATCACACTTTGTGAGTCTGCATCATCACATATTGTGACAACAGCTGCAGCAGATGTGAACTCACCACAACCTCCTGTCAAATCTCAACAAGTCACTGTTTGAACCAGTTAATAAGGTCATGACCCTGCTGCTGACCCTGCTGCTGACCCTGCTGACCCTGCTGCTGCTGCTGACCCTGCTGCTGACCCTGCTGCTGCTGCTGTCATTTGGATGGTGAGCAAATACTTTTGTCAACATGGTGTATTTACTTCAGAGGAAACATTTAAAGGTGAATGTTTCACAAACTTAAAAAAATAAAACAAAAATATTTTATTTCCGGATTTATTAAGTGAATTAAATTTGGACTTTATTTATCTGAAGCTGCTTCTAAATACGTGTAAAACTAATCAGCAGAGGTTTATAGTAACTAAGTACATTTACTCTGTTACAGTACTTAGGATTTGTAATTTTACCAAGTTTTTACTTTTAAAACCTAAAAATGATACTTTTACTTTAAAGTTTAACTCCCAGTAACTTATAAATGAAATGTCTGAACTCATCATGAAAACAGTTGTTTTTGTGTTTTAATTTAATTTAATCAACTAAATCATAACTATTTCCACTAAACGCAGAGTAAATTTAAGGTCATTTATATGTTTTATTTTAAAGAAATTCACCAATTTAATCAACTTGTTTTTGTGGAGCCAGTTTTGTTCTGAAAATTTAACTTTTATTTTGTTAGAGAGCGTGAAAAAGTACTTTTACTTTCCCAGTTTTTGTGAAGTTTTATGACTTCTGTTAGTTTAAAATATCTGCTAAGTTTAAACACTTAATTAGTTTAATCTGTTTAAAATGTCTGTTGGAGTTAATGATAAATGTCAGAAAAGCCGTGTATTGAAGTATTTTCTGGTATAAAACCAGGTATTTAAGTATATTTTTAGTATAAAAACCCTGTATTGAAGTATATTTTCTGGTATAAAAACATTGTATTTCAGTGTTTTCTGATAAAAAACATATATTTAAGTATTTTTCTGATAAACACTGTATTTTAGTATTTTCTGAAATAAAAACATTGTATTTNGCACATATGGACACCCTTATGCTTGAACATGGTGTTCGTTATGGACAATCCATGATGAAGTCCAATAACAAAACACCACTCAGGTTTAGTTAAGGAGGTCGTTCCTCCTAACCATGCCCCTCCAGGTCTCACTGTTATTGCCCACGTGAGCATCAAAGTCCCCCAGCAAGACGAGGGAGTCCCCATCAGGAGCGMTTTCCAGCACCCCTCTAAGGACTCCAAAAAGGATAGGTAATCTGAACTACTGTTAGGCGCATAGGCACAAACAACAGYMATAACCTGTCCCCCCACACGTAGGCAAAGGAAGGCTACCCTCTCGTTCACCCGGCCACCAGGCGCTTGCCAATGTACTCCACCTCCAGGCCTGGCTCCAGAATGGGGCCCCGGTGACCCGCATCTGGGTGAGGGAACACTAAGTCATTTGTTTTGCTCATCATTGGGGGACTTGAATGTGACCCACATTGGATTTTTTTTTTCATGACAGTCTAAATGTGACAAATCCATTTTTTATTTTTAAAATCGAGTCCAGGTCTTTTCAGTATTTGGTACTAAATTAGATATWTATCTGATTCTCTTCAAAGTGACTGCAGTCTAAAGGCCCCCACATACTCRGGCGTACTTCGGGGTCCACGTGGACTCGAGGCAGACTCAATGCAGACCCGAAGCGGACGTCAGCCGGACTGGTCCGCGAAGAAATTAATTTTTTACATCCGCGTCTGCGGTGCGCACAATGGCRTRTACTGTTCTGGGTGCRACACCAARCTGATAAAGTGGAGAATCTGTGTCATTTGTGGACGAAATGGAGTCAAGTCTTRGAAAAGCGTCTCATTTAGATTAGAAAAYGTTATGACGCGTCAATGAAGGAATATAAAGACTTTCAGCGAACAACAAATTTGTGGGAGGAAATAGCTCAGATCCTGGGTAAGGTAGTTCTTTTCTTTTTTCTTTTATTGTTATAAAGCTAAAATTCMAACTATCTCTTCCTCCTGATCCTTGACATCATGACTGAAATTGCGAGAAATTAAAGAAYTTGTCTGGAGGTCTGTACGCTCGAGTATGAAGTCTCAAACATCCGCGGACAATATGCGCAGAGTCCGCACGGCTCATGGAATGCGCACAGTATGCCCAAGTATTTGGGAGCCTTTAATGCTCCTTTACATCAATAACTTGTGAGTATATGGGTTGATCCAAGAAATAAAATTAATACTAACCTYGAGTCTTGCAGTTTAAATTTTGGAACTCCACAGAAGTCCRATTGTGTTTGAGGCCTTGGGGATATCAGTAAACCAAAACAACCTTCTCAGCAGTAGCTGCTGGGCTACAGGTTCACCCTAGATTTCCCCCTTCCTCTCCTCATGTCTTACATGTGCATAAACCCAAACTTCCTGGTCACACCCCTGGGGGCAGTACCTTTTACTTCAGCATTGGAATTTTAAACAGTCTTTGTTTATGTTACAGTGGGACACATAGAGACTTGCTGACTCTGTTAAAGAGCACCTATTAAGGGGTCCTTGATCAAGTTAGGATACATCTGTGAGCTGTACAAAACATGGTCATTTGATTTATTTCACAAAATGAATCTCAGTGAGATTTCACCTTTTCAGTTCTGCCAGTTCTGTGATCCCTTCAGAACAAGCTGTTTATGCAAATAAGTTGCTGTTGGCAAYGCCCTCCCAAACTTTTGTTTATGTTAGCTCTGCCCTCCCAACATTTGTTAGAACTTCAGAGATGTGAAAATAGTATAAGCATTGTGCATCTGCTAGTATAAGCAGATGTACAATGGTACAACAGTAGTAGATGGGCTGCGCATGCAGCAACCCCCAGGATTTGGTAGGGATAGATTGGAGCATCTGACCGAAGTCAGATGCCTTGGTGCCGGGGAGGCCAACGCGCATCCTTTGTTGCTTCCTGAAGCCGGCGTAGACTAAAGGCTGGTGTATACTTCTTGTATACTTCTTGTCGCACGCCTTTTACCCCCCGCTGAGTGACAAAAATTTGCGCAACTTCCATCTGCACTCCCGCTGCTACCCCCCTGGTGACAGCTGTCCTGGACATTGCTCCCAGTCAGTACTCCGAGACGTTGCAGCTCAGAGCGTGATTGGTTCAAAGTTTGAGGGCATTTTCGTTTGGATGTCAGTATATGGTATGTCACACTGCTACCCGCTACTCGCTTCCAGAGGCCGGTTTTGTTTCTAAACAATGATAGTTTCGAAGAGAAACTCACCGAGGCGGTCYGGAGGTACAACCTCCTCTACTGCTTCGGTGCATGCTGAAGGTGAGGGGAGATCCGGTGGGCAAGTTCGTTGAAACGAGCAGCGGACATTYGAAAATAGGARAAGTGTTTYTCRTCATCCATYTCCCRCAYCTGTTGAACCAACAAGCTAAACTCGCCTTGTGTAGATCTGGTCCTGTTCAGC